AAGTAATGTCTATCCTGTGCAGACCCTTTTACCTGCCCAGAGAGCTGACGGGGGTGATAATTAACACTGTTTATATCCCACCTGATGCTAACGCCAGCATTGCACTTCACCACCTCCAGAGCTTAATAAATAATCAACAGAGGTCCCATCCCGACGGAGTTCATATTGTAGCTGGAGACTTCAATCATGCATGTCTAAAAAAGGTGCTTCCCAAATTTGTACAATATGTACGATGTACCACCAGAGGAAAGAATACACTGGACCGGGTGTATTCTAACCTGAAGCATGCTTACAGAGCGGGAGGTACCACTCCCCCCTTTAGGTCTATCTGACCACCTCTCACTGCTTCTCATCCCAGCTTACACCCCCCTCAGAAGTAACACCAAGCCGGTGGTCAAATATATCAGAACCTGGCCCGAGGGGGCACTCTCACAACTGCAAGACTGCTTTGAACATACAGCGTGGGACATATTTGAACAGACAGACTTGGAGGAACACACAGAGGCTGTCTTATCCTACATCAAGTTCTGCACAGACACTGTAACTGTGGAAAAACGCATTCGGGTCTACCCAAACCAAAAACCATGGATGACAAGAGCGGTGCGGTCTCTCCTGAGTTCCCGTGACACAGCCTTCAGGTCAGGGGACGCAGCCCAGTACAGCACGGCAAGGGCGAACCTGAGGAGAGGCATCAAGGCTGCGAAGGAGGACTACAAGGGAAAAGTGGAGGAGAATCTCGCTCATAACAACGCGTGGTGCGTTTGGCAGGGCCTTCACCAGCTAACCAACTATAAGGGCAAAACATCTGGCACTACTAGAGCTGACGCCCACCTTGCAGAGGAGCTAAACCACTTCTTTGCCCGCTTTGAGGCTAGCAGACCCCCCCCACTTTTCTACTCTGCCTCTGTCCCTGCAAACTACCAGCTCCATACCACCTCCCACTCTCAAAGAACATCAGGTGAAGCTGAGGTCTGTGAATCCTGGAAAAGCCGCAGGACCCAATGGAGTACTCTGCAAAGTACTCAAAGCTTGTGCTGACCAGCTCTCAGGGGTCCTGACCAGCTCTCAGGGGTCCTGACCAGCTCTCAGGGGTCCTGACCAGCTCTCAGGGGTCCTGACCAGGATATTCAACCTGTCCCTGTCACAAGCTAGCATCCCATCCTGTCTGAAAACGGCTACCATCATTCCTGTCCCCAAAAAGACACCAGTCAGAGAGCTCAACGACTACAGGCCCATAGCCCTAACATCGGCGGTGATGAAATGTTTCGAAAGACTGATAGCCGACTCCATCAAAGCCAGCCTGCCACCCTCCCTCGACCCTCATCAGTTTGCCTATAGAGCCAACAGATCCACGGATGATGCCATCGCCACGGTCCTTCACACAGCTGTGAGCCACCTAGAAGGCCCAGGCAACTACATAAGGATGCTGTTTGTCGATGTTAGCTCAGCTCTTAACACCATCATACCTGACATACTAGTGGAAAAACTGTCATGCCTAGGTTTCCCCTCCATCATATGAGCCTGGGTAAATCATTTCCTCACAGACCGTCCTCAGACAGTGAAAATAGGCCCTTATTGCTCCTCCACCCGCACCCTCAGCACTGGCTCCCCGCAGGGCTGCGTGCTGAGCCCACTACTCTACACACTCTACAGACACGACTGCTCTCCCACCCACCCCTCCAACTCCATTATAAAATTTGCAGATGACACCACGGTGGTCGGCCAAATATACAAGGGAGCCAACGAGTCGGCATACAGAGACGAGATCCTGAAGCTGTCTGCGTGGTGTTCAGCTAACAACCTACATCTGAACACAAGCAAAACTAAATAAATCATCATAGACTTCAGAAAGCACCGTCCAGAACACGCCCCCCTTCACCTCAACGGAGAGAGAGTGGAGAGGGTCTCCACCTTTAAGTTCCTGGGGGTTCACATCTCGGAGAGCCTCAGCTGGACAGCACACACCACTGCAGCAGTTAAGAAGGCCCAGCAGTGACTACACTCCCTGAGGGTGCTTCGGAGGAACCGACTGAACAAGAAGCTGCTGGTGTCCTTCTACCGGGCGACCATCGAGAGCGTGCTGTCATACTCCATCTCTGGGTGGTATGCAGGATGCTCAGCTGCAGACAAGAAAGCCCTGCAGAGAGTGATCAGGATGGCAGAGAAAACCATCGGCTGCCCCCTGCCCTCTCTGGAGCACATCTCCACCTCCCGCTGCCGCAACAGAGCTAACAAAAGAATAAAGGACAGCCGGGTCACAGACTGTTCTCTCTCCTGCCTTCTGGGAGGAGATACAGGAGCTTCGACTCACGGACAAACAGACTCAAAAACAGTTTCTACCCCTGGGCCGTCACGCTGCTTAACCACCACACATAATGCAATAACCGTAACCAGTCTCACACATACACACACTTTGAATGCACTTTATATACTATTTTTATATCAATATTTTTAACTATTTATTCCCCCGTATGATTGTTTATGGTGTCTGTCCTATGGCTGTGTTTTTTAGTGTTCTGTATGTGTTTGTATTTTTTGCACACCGGGACAGAGTTGCACTCTGAATCTCGTTGTACTCTGTGTACAATGACAATAAAAGGCTTTAACTTCTTTGTTCCTCCGTGTCCTTACTAATTCCTATACAATTACTCTTACATTCCTTCCTTAGTTCACTCCTTCCTATACCTTTCATTTCCTTCCTACCTCCTCCTTCTATCTCTACTGTTTACTCTAGTGTGTGTGTGTGTGTTTGTGTTTGTGTGTGTGTGTGTGTGTGTGTGTGTGTGTGTGTGTGTGTGTGTGTGTGTGTGTGTGTGTGTGTGTGTGTGTGTGTGTGTGTGTGTTGCAGCTGTGTCTACCTGGGTATTAACTTGTCAAATATGTTTAGATGACGGAGGAGGAGGATGTAAACCTCTGTAATCTTTGCAGGGCAGCAGACAGCTCAGCTCCTGTGTGTGTGTGTGTGTGTGTGTGTGTGTGTGTGTGTGTGTGTGTGTGTGTGTGTGTGTGTGTGTGTGTGTATGTGTGTTTGTGTGAGAGAGAGAGCTAAATGCTCAGTGGGGAATAAGCTGAGGACAAACACCGAATACTAATAACTGTTAATAAAAAAAATGGCACATCCTGACAGTAATGTAAAGAAAATAAACGAATTAAATTCTGAGAAAAAGTCCAAATTAAATTCTAAGAAAAAGTAATATTCTGTAAAAAAACCCCACAAATTATAGAAAAAAATCTAATTCAAAGAAATGTGCGAATTAGGAAAATTATGGAATACATTTCAAATTCTTAGGAAAAGTCAAATTCTTAGAAACAAGTCCAAATAATATTATTAAAACATTAAGTATGCAAATATGACAAAAATAAATGTCTCTTGAGTGTGAAATAGTTAATATTTAAACATGAACAGACACGTTGTGTGTGAAGGCTTTAAATGTAATTCTTGCATATTTACAAATAAAAACATTTCTCAAAACCTCACTCTGTTTTTTTAACTTTTTAACTTGTGTCTTATGAATCCAGAGTTTATTTTTCAAGTGATTTAAATCTATTTATTTAAATCAAACTCACAGTAAATTATAGTGTGGCTCCATCTAGTGACACAAGGAGGAGTTCAAGTTAAAATCCACTTTCCATGTTTTTTTAATATACTTTTCTTCCTTATATACCCACACATAATGGGTTTTTTAATCAAATATCCTGCCTTTAATTTTTCTGTGAGCGTCATTTAAAGGCAATCAGTAAAAAAAGTATTTCAGGTCAAAAAGCGTTATGGCTTATTTTTGTCCTAAGCGAGTGCCCGTCTCCCCGCAAAAAAGCGAGACAGCGATTGGCCCTAAATGTATTAAAGATCCCGCCCCTTTGTACGTTTCTCGAAGCCCATTGGTTGATCAACTCGTTTAACCCGGAAGTAAACGCCAAGCAGCTTTTGTTTGACGATTCCTCCACGGCTTCTTGTTCGGATGTTTTATCCTGTTTTGAATCCTGTTTTCTGGGGTTTATCACCGTAAGAACACGGCGGGAAACCAGTTACACAAACAGAGAGCATAAAAACACCAGTTTACTATTATTTACGATCGGATATCCGTGTTTAACAGCCGAAAACACTGGACTCTATCTCCATTTGGTAAGTTTTTACGGTGTTTTCAACATGTTTTATAATGTTTAGAGACAGTTTAAGTTCACTAAAAACAGTTAACAACTCATACCAGAAGGTAATGTGTGGATGTGGACAGAAGCTGTAAAGAGCTAACGTTAGTATCGGTTTGAGCCTCCAATGTAATGCTAGGTTAGCTGAAGTAAATGGTAACAATGGAAATGCAGCATAATGTTCCTCAGGTATATTTATATTATTTAAAAAGGTCTGTAGCGGTCTATAATATGTTTATATTTATTCTGTATTGTGTCTGTATGATACTGTCTTATTTATACCTGATCTATAGTGTATTCTTTTTATATAATTCTGTTTATATTGCCTTATACCAGTGGTTTTCTGTGGGCGCGACCCCTGGTGGTTCGCGGAGGTACTGCAGGGGGGGACGCGGGAAGAAATCGTAAATAAACACTGCTCGGACATATCTCATTGGTCAGAGAGCTGTGGGCATACTGCTGCCTTTTGCAACATCCTACTTGTGTGAGAAAGGCTTTTCTGCTGTTGCTGCCATCAAAACGAAATACAGATCAAAGCTGAACATTGAGAATGAACTGAGAGTGGCAGTCTCAAAACAACAGCCCTGGTTTGAGAAGATCTGCAAGGGAAAGCAAGCACACACAAGTCATTGATAGGTTATGTGTGGAATAGGGATGGTATAGTGATGTGATCGTTTGCAACCTACAGTAGAAATAATAGTTAAGTGTTCATTAAAGGTGGGGTAGGTAATTTTGGAGAAACCAGCTCGAGTGCGCTAGAATTTGAAAATACACAGCCGGAAGAAATCTGCCACTTCCTCACAGAGCCCCTCCTCCAACACACACGAACGCGCACATGACCAATGAGGGCACGAGATAAGTTTGTGCACAGATGGAAGGCTGACAGGCAGGTAGGCCATCCAGTTATTTTAGCCGGGCCGGCTCAGATGATTGGTCGTGCTTTTTACAGTACTACGGCTTCCACAGATGACATTATTTATGTATTTATTGTCAAAGCATTTAATATATTCATTGCTATCGGGATGTTAAGAGCATTCCATGGAATATAACAAAAAGTGTTTCTGAAATAAATTACATACCCCACCTTTAATATATTTCCCTTAAAGAAATTCGAATTTAAAAATCTACTACTCGGGGAAGAAGGCCTACTAGTTTGAATTAGGCCAAATTAATTCACAGTATCTATTACAAGCACTTTTGTTCATGTGTAATCCATAATAAAATATAAAATTATAGTTGGATCTTTGTATCTTCTTATTATTAGCAGAGAAAATGTAATGTTTTTACAACAATATACAATTAATCCTACCAATATAGATGGGAACTGGGTTGGGGGGGGCCCGAAAATATTTCCAATTACCCAAGGGGGGCCCGACTGAAAAAGTTTGGGAACCACTGCCTTCATAGTGTCTATCCGTCACATGTATATATATTTATATTATAATATGAATAACTGCATTATTGCTTGATTTGCGCTTCTGTTCAGATGCTAGCTGCATGTCGTTTTCTTAGTACTGGTAGAATCTTGTTACTTTCAGATGGCTGATGGAGATGTTGACTGCTTTATTTTATTTGTGAAATATATTTGCAATATAAAATAAAGCACTATGATAGTAACGTTTCAGAAAAAAAGTTAAATTATGAGAAAAAAATCTGAGAAAAACTTAAGTGTATCATATTTGATACATGAGTTTCTGAGACCTCTACGACATCCAAATGACTAGTACGTTCCTAAAAGACCTGTTGCATGCAATGTGATACATGTCTTCTGCCCTCTGGTGGATCATCCGGGCACTGCAGGCTGTAGAGCGCTTTTAATGACCAAATCCAAAATGGCTACCGTCATGTAACAGTTCAGACGCTTTTTGGAAACGACATCTTTGCCAATATTGAATAAATTACGGTAATAATTACTTTTGTATTGTTACTGATATTTCACTATGAATATTTACTGTATTGAAGCAACTTATAATCAGTTCATATTTTGTAGCTTATTTCATAGAAAAATCGTGTTGAAAATGTATCAAATAGTATACAGCAGGTATTAGAGTACATTTCATGATGCAATCTGCATTACGCTTACCACAATGCCAAACACACTGTTTAGATTATTTAATTAAAATGTAATATATTAAAAGTCAACATTTAGATATTTACTTGTTTTTTTTGTAACCCGGTGAGTCAAATGTTGCAATGACTCACTTGCTAATAATTGCCACTACTTATTGATTTTTGATTAAAGCAATTCCTTGGCTATCATAATCTATGTCAGGGGTACTCAAACTTTTTTATTAAAGGTCCAGTTGTGAACTTTATACAAGGTCACTGGTCCGGATCAATGCCCATTTTTAAAGATGCATTATGTGGCCTGGTTTTCTTTTACATTTGAATCTTGTTTCTTTCAGTGTGCAGATGGACATCATGTCTCCGCTCGGCTTCAAACGGCTGTCGGTCTGTTTGGTGGACTGCCTGAAAACTCCGGGAATAAACGGGAACGCCGACGAAATATCCGTGGAGTCCCTGAAGGAAACAGAGGAAAGTAAACAGGAAGCAGGAAAACCAAACATCGCTCCAGATATCGTCTCCGCTCCGGAGCAACGGGAAGATGAAGAACTAGAAACTCCTGAGGTGGAGTATGGAGGTAAAATGTCTCTTTAAAGCAGGGGTCGGCCACCTTTTGGATACGAAGTGCCATTTAAAATGTGATCAGTGTGCCAAATCCACGTTAAGATCACTATGACTCGCGCATGCACGTGCACGGTTGTGGCATGACCACCCAAACAGAAAGATATGGACACAAGATGTGTGTAATGGATATTTTACAAATCACTCCCCTTTCAAACTGTATTCTTGTTTATTAATAACAACTTTTTTTTACTGTCATAGTATTTTATACCAGTTTACTTTATTCTCTTATTTATAACTATAATGATCATATAAAGGTGTGTCTTTACCTGGTTATCTGAGTCTGTCAGGAGAGAGCTCTCTTCCACCTGGTTTTAGAAACAGCTCCTTATATTCGTTAGCATAGCTAGCTAACCAGATGCTAATAATCCCCGGTACCGCTGTCTCTCTCTCTCGCTCGCTCGCTCACACACAATGCGCTCGTGCCACACACACACACACACACACACACACACACACACACACACACACACACACACACACACACACACACACACACACTGATCAGTATGTCAGATGAACAGATCGCCACTGGGCTTAGAACTAAAGACACAGCCACGCACAAACTGCGGCATGTGTACGGCTCCTTATGCGTACTGCATTTTTTTAAGTGCTGGAGCGGCGTTCCGGTGTTCTCCGGCAGCACTACACCACGTGATGACACGTTACGCTCGTGTTGTGTTCAAGGAACCTGTCCTTGGCTCTCGTCATCTCACGCCTAGACTACTGCAACTCCCTCCTGGCTGGTCTACCTGCATGTGCCATCCGACCTCTGCAGCTCATCCAGAATGCAGCGGCTCGTCTGGTCTTCAACCTTCCTAAATGTTCCCACACCACACCGCTCCTCCGCTCCCTTCACTGTCTTCCAGTAACTGCTAGAATCCACTTCAAGACACTAGTATCCAGGACATGGTTAAACTGTACACCCCAGCACGTGCACTCCGCTCTGCATCGGCCAAACGGCTTGCTGCACCCGCACTGCGAGGGGGACCCAAGTTCCCATCAGCAAAAACACTGGCTTATCTAAAGCTAGTTGAGTAGCACTGAAAATGTTACTCAATTTTCAGTGCTACTGAAACCGTACGGATACTCGCTTTGTCCGAAACTTCTGATGTACTTATTTGATTCTGTTTTTCAAGTTTGTATCTTCTTGGTCGAATGCACTTATTGTAAGTCGCTTTGGATAAAAATGTGCTTTTTTGCCACTATTTTTCGAGCCAAAAACTGTGAATATTGACTGTAGTTCTTCCCTTCTCTCTCTAGACTTGACAACTGAAAAAATGGCAGATAAAGACGAGCAAGAAGCTGCATCCGAGCCTCGAAGTCACCGCTGTGAGGATTGTGGGAAATCCTTCGTACAGAAATGCAACTTAACAAGACACCGGCGACAAAACTGTATCAAAACAAGAGAATCCGTAAACCAGGTGACTTCCGAACAGGAGCAATCGTTTATATGCGAGCAATGCAAAAAATCCTTTTCCAGGAAAGGATATCTGAAATCACACATGCTGAGTCACTCGGAGGAGAGACCGTACGGATGCAGCAAATGCGAGAAAAGCTTCAAGCAGCTAGCGAGACTAAAGCAACACGAGCGCATTCACACGGGAGAGAAACCGTACGGATGCTCGCTTTGTCCGAAACGGTTCAGGATCCAAGAGTCGTTGGCGGCGCATAAATTAACTCATTCTGGAGAGAAACCCTACAAATGCATCGTCTGTTCCAAAGCCTTTAGTGAGAGGAGTAATCTGAAGAAGCACAGCAGGATTCACACGGGGGAGAAACCGTTCTGCTGCTCTCACTGCGGGAAAAGATGCCGACACCTTCAGCATCTTGTTTCACACGTGCGAAGCCACACGGGGGAGAAACCGTACAAATGCGACAAGTGCGGGAAAAGTTACGGTCATTCGTCGGGGTTGAAGAAACACCATATCGCTCACCAAGAGAAACAAAAAAGCTGCTCCCTAATATGTGTGGATTCATCTCTGGTGAGACATTTTTTTTTTTTTATTATATTATTATTAAGTAACATTAAGCTGTCTTTGGCTCTTAAAATCTGAATTATCTGGAAGTTTAGGGAACTTTATTGACAAAATAGTTGGATTTATTTTATAATCTGTTCTGTATTACGGGATCCTTTACAAACTCTTAAAAGGCGTTAATTCATTTTAATTATTTAATACTTCTTCATTAATTAAATAAAGGCCTTATTTTGTAGCTGAGAACAATTTGTAATAATTCAATTTACAAATGTAATCTGTGGAAATTATGCAGTGTTTTTCTTTAAAATATTTATCCTTTTTTGTATTTTCTTCACAAGTGCGTCGAGACGTCGGAGAAACCACACCGCTGCACAACGTGCGGGAGGTGCTTTTCCCAGACGGCGGCCCTAAAGAATCACCTGTTCGTTCACGCCGGGTTGAAACCCTACGGATGTAACTGCTGCGCGAAGACATTTGCCGACAAGAGCAACCTCGCCAAACACAAACGCATTCACACCGGAGAGAAACCCTTCGAGTGCGACGTCTGTAAGAAACGTTTCAGGCTCCATCAGCACCAAATAAGCCACCAGCTGACTCACCAGAAAGAAACTCTAGATAAGAAACCTTAAACAATAATCGCTTTTTGCAGTTTTTCAGGAATATCTCTGTTCAGAAGATACGATTTTAAGTGTCACCGGTGGTGGAAAGTGCATTTACTTGAGTACAATAATGAGTGATGTGAAGTATTCTTTATATTGATGCTACTTTATTCTTCTTCTCCACTACAGTTCAGAAGACAAAACTGGACATTAACCTCACTACATTCATTTACATATTTAAAAACCGGAGTATAAGAATTACAATCAACTTTTATACAATAAATTACAGCCAGTCAAATATTAAAGATAATTTTAAATGTTATTGCCTTAAAGGTGGGGTGGGTCATTTTGGAGAAACCGGCTCGAGATCGCTAGAATTTGAAAATACACAACCCGGAAGAAATCTGCCACTTCCTTATAGAGCCCCTCCTCCAACACACACGAACGCGCACATGACCAATGAGGGCACGAGATAAGTTTGTGCACAGATGGAAGGCTGACAGGCAGGTAGGCCATCCAGTTATTTTAGCCGGGCCGGCTCAGATGATTGGTTGTGCTTTTTACAGTACTACGGCTTCCACTGATGATATTTATTTATGGATTTTTTGTCAAAGCACTTCAGATATTCATTGCTATCTGGATGTTAAGAGCATTCCATGGAATATAACAAAAAGTGTATCTCAAGCCGGTTTCTCAAACTTACCTACCCCACCTTTAAGGATAATAATCTTGTATTGAATATGTTACAACTAAAGTACATTTTCCTGATTATATTAACATTTACTTACAAAGTTGTTATTTATTTTATCATGGGGTAGTACTTCTTTCCACCACTGGGTGTCACACTTGTATAACGTCAAACTTTACTTTATTTTCTATTGAGAAACAGTGAAATATCCAATAATGCATTGTAGTCCCATCTGTATAATGTGAGTCATACATATACCTCTATAGTTCTCTAAATACTTCAAGTATTACGCTCAAAATGTTTTGTAGAAATTCTCTTAGTTTAATTTTTTTAAATAGCTATTAGTGAGTTTTAATAATGTGACTTTATATTTGAAATAATGACCTTTTGCTCCAACAATTATTGAAGAAATGTGTCTCGTTGTTTTTTGTGCTGACAAAATAAAAGAAGCTAAAAATACAATTATATTTTGTTTGCGTTTGACGATCAAATGGTTGATTTAATGTGTTTTTATTCACTTTTTTAACACCCCAAAAGAGCCGGGAGTTCAATTTTATTTCATTATAATTTCTTTATTTTCTAGATGTATTTAAATGCATGAAAATTATATTAAACTGGGTAAAGAAACAATTAATATTATTAACAATATTCGTTGTTTGAGGATGCGTCATGTTTAAATACCCAGAAAATGTTGTGTATTTTGTCGCTGCTTGAGTAATCATGTACGGCTTCCTGTCAGTTGTTTGTCACTGCCAGTAAGTGTGTGTTCAGTGTGTGTGTGTTCACGACAAACACACCCCCACGCCAGCGCCCTTTGACCCCCCGCAGAAGGGTAGAAATGTCCTGCAGCGGCTTCAGAGGAACATTCAGAAAGAAATCTGCAAAGAGACGCAAAGATGAAGAACCTCGTCTTCCTCACTTTATTATGTGTGGCCTCGACTCTGGTGAGACATTTTCAAATATCTGACTGACACAAAGAAATCTGATTTATCTGAACGTTTAGGGAACTTTATTTACAAATTGTTAGGATTTATTTTATAATCTGCTTCGTTTTACAGATCCTTAAAAACTCTTTAAAGGCGTTACATTCATTTAAATTATTTATTACCTCTTTATTAATTAAAAAAGGGCCTTACTTATATTTAAGAAAATATCATTATTTTCCATTCCTGTCTATTTGGTTACCTGGTTTGTTAAACATGTGTTACATATTCCTAAGACCTGAACTACTTTAAGGATGTCAGAAATGTTTATCAAGTGTTTGGATATATTTCTAATAACTGTGTGTGTGTGTGTGTGTGTGTGTGTGTGTGTGTAGGCCGACCCTGTGGACCCCCGAGGGGCTCGTCCCGTGCAGCAGGGAACTCGATCTGATAAATGTGCGACGGAGAAAGAGTGGCCGTTCTGCACCGACGAACAATGGGTACGGTTCATATTTAATATAATTTGACTTATTATGTTTTGATATAACATCATCATTCTTTCTACTTCTAGAATACTCTGTTGTGATTGGTCTATCACTTAGAGATGTCCCGCCCCTTAGCCTATCACGTACAATGTGTTGGAGCCAATGGAAGCTAGTGATGTCGGAATTTAGCATTTCAAGACCATTTACTTGCACACAAACCTATTCAACACACGATGATAGGGTCTTTGAGCATTAGAAAAAGCGCTATAAAAATCCAATGTATTATTATTAATATTGTTATTATGATTTCAGGGCTCAAAGTGTCCGTCCGGCTGCAGGATTCAGGGTCTTCTGGATAAATACGACCACGGCACGCTGACGAAAATCGAGAAGATCCGCAGCCTCCTGGATCAGAACCGGGCCAAACACCGGTCAGCTGACCAGGTCTCCAAGCAGACCCACGACTACCTGAAGGAGAAGCTCACCCTCGACTCAGGTCAGGAGGGTTATATATAACTTAGATATTTATTAATACTTTTATATATTATTTTAAGTCTTCTAAATAATTGTTGTAAATGATATTTCTCAGGAAACGACAACAGCTACTTCGACCTGGCTCAGAGTCTCCGGACGAGGATCACGGCCATGAAGATCCGGATCGACCGGCAGCTCGGGGTGCTGGCGGCGCTGAAGCAGCGCGTGAAGGACCAGGTGGACGACATGCAGCGCCTCGAGGTACTAATACACACATTCCTTCATTTAATACCTTTGTAATACCTGCATTTATAGTGTGTGTGTATACAGCAGATAATATTTAAAATCCCACCGGAGTTACCTGAATATATACATATATAAATACCTTCACATAATACCTTTATTTATGGTATTTATAGTGTGGAAAGTCTAAGAAACACACAGCTGGAGGTACATGAAAATATATATATATATATACCTTCATATAATACCTTAATTTATGGTATGTATGTTGTGGAGAATATATATAATCCCACTGGAGGTACCGGAAATATATATATATATACCTTCATATATGTGTTGTGGAGAATATATATAATCCCACTGGAGGTACCGGAAATACGTTATTATAGTATTTATAAAGTTGCATCGGAGTCCTAAACCCTGACATGACTCAAAAGCTGCTTCAGTATTTATGAAAAAGTCAGATTAATGTCCGTTTTTCTTTAATTAATTATCTACAAAAACACATCTCGGCAGCCTGGTGTGTTGTTTTGTTTACTCCCAGAGTTCATGCAGACCTGGTGCTTGTAGACACTTTTATTTTTAACCTCTTTTCCCCTCCGTCAGATCGACATCGACATTAAGCTGCGTTCCTGCAAAGGATCCTGCCAAACCTACGCCAAGTACGACGTGGACCAGGACAGCTACGTGACTCTGCAGAAACAGGTGAGGGCTTTAAAGACAGAAGCTTTTTAACGACATCTAAATGTGTCTTACGAAGGTTACGGTAAAAGGTGCACGCAGTTAGAAGCTTCGAGGGGATGAATTATGTTATTTATACAAGATCCAACTTCTAAAAGTAGAAAAAAACCCCTAGGAAAAACGTTGACTGAGTGACTAGTGCTAAAACATAAGTAGAAGTGTGGGGTGTCCTACTCTGCCCGGCACAGGGTGACTGCTGGGACTTTATTGATGTTTATCCGTGACAGTTTTGCCTCCTCTTGAGAAAACCGTAACTAGTAACAATAAAATAATTTGGCGTGAGCATCCGAGTGCCCTTATGAACCATATGTGTGATTTGCGTGTGTTAAATGTGGCCGTGGAGGCAGTTTTGTGTGAAGGCCCAGTAGAACATTTAACATGGGAGTCTATGGGCGAGGCCGCTGGAGTTTTTGTCACTCAACGGCTCTTTAGGGTTGGATTTGTCCATCAGTTTTATATGATGAAGGCATCGAGACAACGCTGACTAATTCAGCGTCTGAAGTCATTTTAAATGATGTGAAAAGAGTGAATATTATGGGATTTAGAGCAGGTTTAAGATCCTTTTTTTTTCAGGAGATTTCCCTCTACACTCGAAGTGATGATGTCATCACTCTGAACATTCCGCCTCATTCACACCCATTGAAGCAATCTGAACAATTCACAACTTTCAAACTGTGATTACGGGAAAACGGTTCCATCTATCAAAAAACGTGTTTAGTCCAACAAAGACAAGAATCTGGAGAGCTGATTGCACTTTGAATCACCTCTCTCCGTTAAAATATGGCGAATCTGTATGACCTCAAAGTTGGGCGATTTTGAGCTCTGTTGAAGTCGATTTCCCATTCATTCCTATGGAGAACATTTAATTTGTTTGCTTCCATTCCCGATCATTCTGCAGGTTTTTTGTGCATGTTTCTAGCTTTTTTTAAATAAAGACGTCTTCCTGCAGGTGGACCAGCTGGACTCGCAGGCGGCGCAGAACATCGAGGCGGTGGGAACGCTGTACGTGATGAAGAGTCGCCCGCTGAAGGGCGTCATCGTGGACAGCGTCTATAAATCAGGACCGACCGGCCCGGCGATGGCTCAGCAGAAAGAAGACATGTTCCCCGACGTAAGATCTTCCTCTCCTCGACTGAACGATGCACCACGTCTTTTGCACACTTCACTACTTTCATTTTGGCATTTTGAACAAATCCCATGAAAAAGAAAAACACTGATATCAGACATTTTGTTATTTTATACGATTTATATATATTTTTTCAAATGTTAAGTTAATTATTTAGGATATTTCCAAACGAACTAGAATACTTTTTTATTTATTACCAATATTTTCTTATATAGCTTTGGGGCATTATCACATCTATTTCAAACCCTTAATGCCACAATTCAACTGGAGCCAAACACTCATGCTTCCTCTCCGTTCTCAGGTGAACACGGTGAATTTGATCCTGGAGTTGGAGGGCTCCAGTTCTTCCCCCGCCACCATCTCCAAGGCCCCAGGTACTTCCTTCACTTCCTCCTCTTCCTCTTCCTCTATCACCAATCTCGGAGGAAACGGGGATTTCTTGGGTGGCGGCGATGGTCTCCGACAGCCGAGTACGAGCACTCACGTCACCTGCACCATGAGCACCCGGAGAACCGTGGTTCAAACCAAAGATGGTCCGGTGGAAACAGTGGAGGAAGTGATGGAGGGAGGCCCCGAATGCCAATCAATGACCGACTTCACCCAGGGAGGATCCAGCTCTGTTTTCCCCAGCCTCACACACACTTCTTCCTCCTCTTCTTCCTCTTCCTCTTCGTCTAAAATCGTCCAAGCCGGCGGCACCAAAGGAAGCCTTTTAGACACCAAAAGCGGGTTTTCCGGGAATCCGTTCGGCGACTTTGGCGCTGACCTCGGCGGGTTCATGGCGGGTCTCGCCGATGACGACGTTCCCGATTTCCACGCCCGCAGTGTGAAGAGCGTGCGTACGGAGCGGGAGGCCGGGTATATAGGAAAAGGTACCAAAACATCGGACGTGGAGTAAAAACCTTTAAAAAAAAAAAAAAATCGCTAGATGTTAGCATCAGCTAGCCTTATGTACCGAAAATATGAAGTGAACACAGGAATTGTTATTGTTTAATGCTAGAGATTCAAGATGTTCTGTTTGATGTATTGGTGTGTTTTTGAGGTATTTCTGGACATCAAATATGAATAAATCTGAAGAAGAATTTGCACGAGTTTATTGGGACAAAAGTCATTTAGCAGTGAAAGCTGTTAGCACTCTTTTGACTGGGGTACATGTAATTGTATTTCAAATACATGTATTAAAGTAAGCGTCAAATTTCCCCCGACAAAACCACTCTGACTGATCTTAATGCACATTGACGTGATTTTTTAAAAGTTCTGTTCAAATAAACTTTCATAACTGACCATTTTAATAAGGTTACAGCAAAAAAACCTGCCTGCCTCAAAAACATATCATATAATCAATGTTGATTTGTAGATAACATTAGTTTGTCGTTTGTCATGTTGCAGTTCCAGCTACCGTTAGCACAGTACATTAAAGCTACTCAATGGTTCGTGTTAGCAGAAAGAGTGACCGTTAGCCCGTTAAGTACTTTTAAGCGTTCACAGACAAATACTCGTTTTAGAGGTTGCTTTTAGGGACCGAAGACGGAAAAAAATGTGTATCAGATTGACAGAAATGGGTTGCCGTCTTGCAAGAACGCGACCATTAACTGCAGTAAATTTAAGCTAGCCGAAGCGCTCCAAGCTAACTGGCGGTCTGCGGTTTCCCCCTCTGTCTGCAGATTGTGTCGACGCCCACAGGAAGCATCTGAACGGAGAAACGAGCGGCCTTTTTACGATCAGACCTGGAGGCCAAGACTCCCCCCAGCTGGTGGAGGTTTACTGCCAGCAGGAGGGGATAATGGGAGGGTGGGTGTTAGTCCAGCTGAGAGAAAACAGCGCGCTAAACTTCAACCGATCCTGGGCCGAGTATCGCAACGCTTTCGGGTCCGTTGACGCGACGGGAGGCGGGGGGTTCTGGATCGGAAACCAGAACCTCCACCTGCTGACGAATCAGGGCGAGAACATGCTGAAAGTGGAGCTGGAGGATTGGGAAGGAGGCGTAGCTAACGCAGAGTTCACGATCAGAGTCGGTTCTGAAGACGAAGGGTATCCAATTCACGTTTCCGGGTACACGGGAGACGCCGGGGACGCGCTAACGTCGTCGCACAACGGGATGAAGTTCAGCACCTTTGATAAAGATAACGATAAGTCAGAGGGGAGTTGCGCGGAGATGTATGGCGGAGGATGGTGGTACAACGACTGTCAGGCGGCTAACCTCAACGGGGTTTATTATAAAGGCGCGTACGAACCGGAGAAAACCGCGCCGTACGGAGTTGCTAACGGAGTTGTGTGGGAGACGTTTAAACCGACAAATTACAGTCTGAAAAAGGTTAAAATGTTCATCAGGTCGGCAGCTTTTTAGACACACTGAGAAAAGATAAAACATCAATAATAACGGCTAACTTAAACGGGATTTTAATGTTCATCAGATCGACGTTTTTTAATTAGATGCTGAGATAAAATACAACAACTTTCAGGCTGCTAACTTAATGAGATTTATCATATCGAGGATTGTACGACCCGTGCAGTACTTAGTTGCAAACGAAGGCGCGTGGAAGACATTTAAATCGGCAAATGACAGCTTAAAAATTGTAATTGTAAGCAGAGAAAACATGGCAAAACTTTAAATCACATAAATCCCCTGAAAAACGCACCGTACGTTGATGTTCAAACCGGCCAATGTCCGTCAGATCAGCGGCTTTTTGATTAGACACTGATAAAAAAAATGTTTAAAGCAACAACAGCCTGAAAAACCGTTGCCGGGCAGATTGCTTAAATGGGATTTATTCTAAAGTCTAAATAATTTAACAATATGTTGCCAGTAAATGTCACATGTTACCATATTAATATGCATATTTGGCTTTTGTTTGAATGTACAATCTTTTATTTAAACTCTAAGAGCAACAAGGCAGGACTAGAGAAAAGCTTAAAGTAGGACGTGCATTTCAGACTGTTGGTCTGTCCGTGTTTATTCTTCCTGATTGTGTAAATTTCATCGACCTGTTGATCCCAGAAGAGTTTGTGGGAAATCACAAAGTGTTCCCAATATTTTCCCTGTTTCTCAACTTTGTACGGAGCGATGAACTCGTGCAAATCAATAAAGATCAAATGTTCACTTCAGCTGCTGTGGTGTGTGCCGTCATTTAACTAACACAAACTAACACGGGTTTCAATATTTTCAAACATACCAAAAACATTTCATTTATGATAAATGATTAGACGTGAAAATATTATCTAGAGAATCAATAAAAAATGTATGATAAATATATATTTTTTTAATACTTAAGTTTTTATTTAAAGGTTTTTATTGTCTTCCAAATTCAAATAAAACTTGTTCGTCATTTTAAAAGGCACTTTAATAATAATCTAATTTAAGGTTGATGTTTACATATCACATTTTTTATATATTATTAGAAGTGGGAAGTAATACATAAATACATATTTTAAATAAACGCACTTTTATCTGGATTATTCTTAATTAATACAAAATATATATAAATTATTAAAAACGTATGCCATATAAATATACTTCAATTATATATTTACATATTATTCTATCAAATACAATAAATGTACTCTTTAAATACTTTGCTGGAAGACTAAATTAGAACAAGAATATTTGAAGTTTTCGTACAGAATTAATACAAGGGGATCAAAATGTATTTTAACGACAGAATTGTAATTCTTAAAAATCAACATTTATGTTAGTAGTGAATTACCTTGCTTACAAATGTGTTTCCACATTTTAAACCGACTCATATTTAACATTGTTTTTGAGAATTAAACCCAGAAATGTTCTAAAATAATGTGATATGCCAAATATTAGTCACATAAACTTGGTGAAAAATGCATTTATTTAGGTATTAAACTACAACGTGCACTTCTTTATGTAATGTTTATATATGTTGTTATACTACCTGGTTCTTAAGCAGATTGAGAATTACTCAAAAATGAATTTCATCCCATGTTGATGAGAAAACGTTGGATATTAAAGTGATTCTTTTATCTAAGAAAGTAAAACCTGAGTTCATGTTGGTTCAACTTGTTTGTTCATTTCAAATAAAGTGTTTTCCGCGTGTCCTCTCTTACAACACGACTTCACATCTTATCTCATGTTTGATTTGGAGGCCGGTCCAAGGTGCGCTGACCTCAATTATTTATTTTATTTATTTATTTTCTCTGCAGTTTGTACAAGGCTGCAGAGACAAGATGGCCGCCAGCCCTCAGGTCACAGACACATGAAGAAACACTGCCGGACACACACACACCTCCCTCTGTGTGCAGACGACGACTGGGTGAGAAACACACACACACACACACACACACACACACACACACACACACACACACACACACACACACACACTATAGTTCATGAGGTGGAAGTTCACCAAATGTGAAGTTTAGTTGAAGAATTAATCTACATAAAAACCTGAAATTTGAGTTAGTTTGACAGCAAATCATCAGCCTCTACAAACACCTGTAATACTGGATATATTTGTATATCATGTATACCAACATAGAATTTTTGTTAATCCACGTATATATTTGCCCTTATTTAGTCTTGAAAATATCCTAGAAGGCACATGGTAATAAAGTCTAAAAACAACCACAACAAAAGGCTACATTTATTTATAAAATACAGATATATATAGATTTTAAAATGTCCTTATAAATCCCAAAAAAGTGTTTTTCTGACGTTGCTTTTCCAAAAGATGGAGATTTTTGTTAGTTTTAGTTAAGATCAGGCAGATTGTGATATTTGTTTGTAAAATTGTATTATAAAATGATATCATGTATTTTAAAACTATATATCTGATATTCTATATAAAGAAATGTTACTTCTTATTCAGTTAGCATTTTTATTTTTATACCCATGCTGACACTTCATTTTATTTCCCTTTGGATTTACAAAATTATAATTCAGTTTCAAATACACAAGTCAGTTTGTACAGAGAGTCTTTCTGTAATCTGGCTGGAGAAAAAAGTCTCAAAGGGAAAATGTTTTTCTATATTTACCTTCTATAGTACTTTTCTTTGGATGGGACCGACTTCATACACATGGCAGATATTGAAAACACAGTTATGAAAGTATATAATTCACTCAGTGGGACTAATAAAGTGATTCTGATTGGGATGTTGACCCTCGTGTTTCTCTTTTACAGGTTTCTAAATGCCCCTCCGGCTGCAGGCTGCAGGGTTTGATCTCACAGATGGAGAGCAAGGTGGAGAGGAAACTAACAAAACTGTGTAAAACAGCAAAGATTCACGAAGACGCGACTGAGAAGTCCATGGCGGCCATGACACGCGTCTACAACCACAACCGGAGATTCCTCGTCAGCAGATACGGTGAGACTGTGACAGTGACAGTGCACATTAATCAACATTTCTTTACATGTGCCAGAGTTATTCAAGAGGCTATTTCTCATCTGTAGTCCCTGGTAATGTTTTGGTAGACTGGTGCAGGGATGTCGTATTTCTGTGTTGGACCCTGAAGGCAGCATCTCCCTGGTCCAATGGGATTCCTCCGTGTGATTTTGGGTTATTGAAGAACATAATCTCTGTGTCAAACAAGCTTTGATGAAATGTGCACGTGTAGTTCAGCAGGATCATCTCCACATATTAACACACAGGTCATTTTTCATGCAGACCTTTTAAGGGTTACCTTTAATTTAAAGAATGTGTAATTAAGAAAGGTATGTTATGTTCTCTTTGACACTAACAAACAACAAAGTACTCGTTCTTGCACCACTATAATCTGGATATAATAAAGATAGGATGATTTAAACCAAGGGTGTCAAACTCAAGGCCCGGGGGCCAAATCCGGCCCGTGACTTCATTTAATGCGGCCCTGCCAGAGCTCTGAAAGAATATAATATGTTTATTATACGGTTACATGCCGATTTACAGAAGCACGTTGCCCATAAACTGCATCTCATTTTGTGACATTCTCCCTGAAGAGACTTGCAATTATTTGCCCTAGACTTCTGCTTTCAGACGTAGTTAATTATGAAGTTATTACCCTATCTGATAATAATCCAATGCAGAGGCAATCATGTAATATAAAATATTATGTTATATATATTAAATATTTATATATGTATTTTTATATAGTCTTATATATAAAACTGGCCCTTTGAGTGCTACCATGATGCTAATGTGGCCCGAGATGAAATTGAGTTTGACCCCCCTGATTTAAACTAATGCTGTCTGTATTGGTCTCCAGTTTCAGAGCTGAAGTTCGTGGAACAAAGCGAAGTGTTGGCGTTGAACCTAACGTCGCTCCGAAAACGTTCGTCCAAGTTGTCGCTGAAACTCAAGGAGGTGAACCGAGACGTCCAGAAACAATTAGTGGACTTATATCGAACAGAGGTAAGAGAAATGTCAAAACAAACTACTGTTAACAAAGCTAACGTTTGCTTATTTCATATATGGCACATTTGACTCGGAAGACATGAATCAATACAGTTGAAATGTTCGGGTACTTCAACATAAGACTCCACCACATGAGAATCAGAAAACCTTTATTCGTCCCCCAGAGGAGAAATGTACATGTGTTACAGCAGAAAAGAGCCAAAGACAGCTTAATGTTAACTAAGAGTTGACGTTATAGAGGAATAACATGTTTTCCCCGTCTCCAGGTGGAGGTCGACGTGCAGCTGCGAGCCTGCTCTGGTTCCTGTAAGCTGGTGTTTCCGTTCAGCGTGGATCATCACAGCTTCCAAACACTTCAAACCGACTTGAGGCCCAGGGACAAGACTCCTCACCAGAGGAGGAAAGTCGTATCGCCTCCAGAAGACGTCCCTCACATGAAGCTGCAGACGGTCGACGAACACCCAACATCGCCCGAGTATAAATCCATCCCAACGGTCCGGAGAGAACTTTTGACCCAGTTCGAGGACATTCCCCAGAACCGGGTGTTCATGGAGGAGTTCGAGACCGAAGAGCTCCACTGAGGCATGGTGGAAGTTATCGGCACAGAATAGTTTCTCAGGTAGAATATCACACCTGTTTCAATGTATATTTCTGTTTACTGTTTAATACATTTTATATTTTTTTATGACATTCCTTACTACTTTTTACTGTTGGCAATTGTTTAAAAATATTTGCGACATAGTAAACTGTGACTTTTTGGGGATTTATCATTGCACACTATTACTTTTCTCGACATTGTGTGACATACTATATTATATGGACATACTGAACTGTGACATTTTGACTGGTAAAAGAAAGACTTTACTTCCAATTTCAAAAGGTATTAGTTATTTTCTGCCAGTATTCCTTAACACTGTTGCTTCTTGCTGTAATAAGTATTGTATATTCTTTGTTCCTAGCATTTAAAACCACCCACTTGGAGGAGTTCGAGACCGAAGAGCTCCACTGAGGCAGGTTCATGGTGGAGGTTAACAGCACTTAGGGGTTCAAAGGGTCTCTTCTAATAAACACATCACTGTAAGCCTGTTTATTAACAACAACACGCTCTTTATTAACGTGCACACAGGGCTGGGCAATACATCGATATATATTTCAGATTAGACATCGTTGTATTTTGGATATCGTATATTGCATAAGTGTCTTTTCCTGTTTTTATAGACTGCAAAGACATGTCATTTTCTGAAGTAACCAGGATGTTTTTTCCATCATCATTATAGTCTCTATATCCACATAACTAATGATTATTTATTACAAATGTAATATAAGTGTTAATATTTATTGATATCTCCGATAATCAACGCCTCAATATCTTCTTAATATCATTATCAAGGTATTTGATTTTCTCTTCGTCCACCTTACTGTTGCACGTCAAAAATGCCTGTTTGTTCACTTCCAATATTATCAGTATCATGTTGTAAAGCAGAATCACTGCAGGGAGGTTAATAGTTAGGCGGCGACCTCTAGTGGCCGTAGACTAGTTATTCTAAGTCTTATTTTAAGTTATACACCTAAGACTTACGTAACATACTTAACAGAAAAAATGCACTTAGCTTAATCAGCCTTATATGTGTTTGATGTGTGCATAACCAACTATTTAATTCTACCCTTAAACCAGGTCCTAAACCAAACCAAGGAGTGTTGTTGCTTAAACATGAAACAATGACTTTTGCTTCAATTCACAATTTAATAAATATCTTTTGTTTTTGTTTCCCTCATCTAAAGCATTATAATGGTAGTAATAACAGACATTCAATGGGATGATAACATTTAAAATATGTGGTTTGTCCAGTTTTTTCATATTGAATGCATTTTCTGTTTGATACAAAATCTGAAATTGCCATAAAAAAAAAAATTGGAGTCACTTTTATTGGAAAAATATGATTTTAAGCAATTTTGGGGACAAAGTGAATCTCTAACTTTCAGTGGCAGCCAATATGTTAATCATTCAAACCCTTCTCTATGTTAATGTGTTAAAGGTATTCTCTGTACCATCTTCCTGTCATAATTGTCAACAAATAATGTATTTCTAAAACACCTCAAACTGTTTTTCCGTCCATTTTAAAATGTCTGTAAAAACAATAGTCTTCACGAACGAGCCGTGTATTTCTCTGGTTCTGCATGTGGGTGACAGCTTTAATCTGATCTGTCACTAGACACATTTAAATATCAATGCATAAAGAACACACTCCTCTGTTTCCTGTTATATTATTTATGTCACTGTTTCAACAATGACCCCCTCACTGTTCAGCCATAAACTCACTGCATGATGAAATGTTATTTGTATATGCACGGATCAATAAAACACACTTTTGCACATTTCGTCACCTCTGTCTCTTATTGAATAGTTTCTCAGTTAGCATATACTTCTGTTTCAATGTACCATTAATCAGTATGCTGTTTACTGTGGCATAACTTTACATGTATATATTTATTTTAACAGTTGTATACACATTATATTGATTCCTTACTACTTTTTACTGTTGGCAATCGATTAACAATATTTTTTCGATATAGTAAACTGTGACTTTTTGTGGATTTATTACTGTACTGTGACATTTTGACTGGTACAAGAAAGACCTTACTTACCATTTGTAAAAGTTACAAGTAATTTTCTGCCAGTATTCCTTAACACTAGTGCTTCTTGCTGTAATTAGTACTTCATATTCTTTATCTTGAGCATTTATAACCACTCACTCTTGACTGACTAGATTAGCTAATTACTAAAACTATCCCGGCAAGAATGAGAATCTCCGATTTTTATGATGGCCCCATTTTTATGATGGCCCATTTTTACAAAAGCCCATTTGTGCGTCGGCCAGTTATCCCAGAAGTTTACAGTGTGTTTATTGTGCAGTTTAAAGCCACCTACTCTTGATTGACGTGGAAGATGAGCAACAATATTATTTAGCACTAGTTTTCTCACTTTTCTTTAACCTGTTAAGCACCAAGCCTGTTTTTCATGTTTCAGGCTCGAAAATGACATGCCCAAAACAAATGACTACAAGTTAACTTCTAAAAGGATTATATGAATAATTTCTTTTATCAAAGCAAGTTTACATCTGTGAGTTGGATGTAGAAGTGTCAAAATCAATATAGATGTTTTTTATTTTAAAGAAAATTCAGATTTTACATAGTAAAACACTGTAAATTATAGTGTCCGTCCAAACATTATTTTTTACAGATAGTGAAAACTACCCTTGGATGATGGGTTAGTAGACTAAAAGCTTTGGGAATCCAAAGTACAACATATACTAAGTACCCTGTATCAAGATTGATGCAAAACAAGTGACATTTGACCTTTTTAGAGAGGTTTAGCCAAAACCACCCCACCTCTGAGGTGATTTGGGTGAAAATGTTTTTTTTCCATATCTCTGGCCCCCCTTGGTCGATTTGGATGGTTGACACCTCTTTCTGACCGTTAGAGCCAATAGAATCGAAGGGGGAGGCTCCCACACACACACATTGTGAAGAGAAAAGGTGGGGGCTGCGCGCATGTAAATGTGCAGCAGAGTGAAGCGATCTCTAGCTCTGACATTTGGAAACGAAAAAGCAGTTTTATTGCTTATGGATTATCAGAAATCATTTCAAAGAGGACACAGACACATTGGATGAACCTATGGATTAACTGCAGCATTGTTTTTTTATCGTTTTAATGCCATTGAAGACCAGTTTTGACCAAGGTAAGCCATGTTAGAGTTTCTAGCTACCTAGCTCCACATGTTATGATGTACGCTTTCGTTTATAGCGTCGCAAATGTTTATCACTGAGTGTTGAGGTGGGCACCCACAGATTCAGTGTCTCCAGGACACCAAAAACAAGTGGTTGGCTGTGCATCTAGGATAAGTAATAAGGGAGTTATTGTGAGTTTAAGTGCCGTTTTAGGTTACATTTTTTCGCTCGTGGATAATTCAGAGGCTGAGTGTTAGCATTGTGGGTTTTTAAAAAAAAAAAAATGAAAAAGATCAGTTAGCTGAGTTTCTTCCCGTTACATGGATATAAAACATTCATAGTTTATTAAATATTAAGATTCCTTAGACGTTGTTTCCTGCAAATGACGCGTTTATCCGCCCGGTACCGGGCGGATAAACAGGTCAGGTCGGGGTCAGGTCGGGGTCAGGTCAGGTCGGGGTTTTTACAGGTTAAACCTTCTTTGCATATTTCACCATGATACGTTTTTGTGTTTTATTTTGACAGGCTGTAGCAGGAAGTATTCATTGAGTTCATTTCGTTTTCTACAGTCCCTTTAGTGAAATAACAGCCAGAGCAGACAGGAAGTATGTTCCTCAACGTGTTTATTGAGTAGCGGAGGACAGTCTGTTGACTCGTCCTGAAGACGTCACACATCACGAGAAAGGACAGAGCACACAAACACTCACAACCAGTACCATGCTTCTCTTTTCCTGTAGACATGACACAATAATCTGACTTTTTATCAATTCTTATTTCACTTCAGCACATGCCGAGACTCTCAGTAAAAGTTGTGTTTGAATGTGTGTGTCCACCATCTTGAAGGTTACAGCTAAAATAAAGGACACACTTGAAAATGAGCTACAAGGAGTTTTGAAGCTGTTTGACCCCAAACCCCCAAAGCCACACATTCATTTCCTGTCTTTTATTTTGGCGGTTTCCTGTATGTGTGCGTTGTTGACGCTCTCTGATTATGTGGAGGCGAAGAACGGCCTGATCTTCATGCTGATGGTTTTCAGAGAATACCAGCTGCCCTTCCAGTTCATCCACACCACGCCGTCGTCCGTGCCGTGTTTGGCCATTCGACGAGTGTACGCTCCTCCGATGTAGTATCGTCCGTTGGGATTGGCCGAGTGGCAGCGGTTGTACCACCAGCCGCCTCCATCCTCTCTGGCGCATTGTTTAGACGGATCACCTGGGACCCTAGGAGAGGAAACAAGGAGACAAGATTAGATTAGATTCCTTTATTGTCACTACACAGAGTACAGCGACATTCCAAGTATTCCTGAATCACACACAGACCATATAAGTGTCATTTGACAATACAAGCTAAAAACATTGAATATATACTATATAAAGTGACAAGAAATTGGACCTATGATACATAGAACAGTACGCTTATAAAACAATACAACATTGCTATACAAATACAAAAACAAGAACAATACGGTCAGTACATTTTTTTTAAACAAGTCAATTTTTACAGCCCCGGTAATGGTACAAATCTCAACCTGTCGTACAATGGACAGCTTCCCCCCCCCCATCTATGTATATACTCGCATTTTAGACTCTGTTACTAACTGTATATCTGTAGACTTGGTATGTCTTAAATGTCCGGTTAGGATGTATTAGAACGAAATCTAAAATGAAAATTGTAAATAAGCCATCTGTATGTAAAAAACCACCTGTATGTAAATTGTAAATAAGCCATCTGTATGTCAAATATGTCTTATATGTCTTAAATGATATGATGAATTGGAAATGGGGGACCCTGATGTAAACAAGACGAAAGTCTTTCTCTGGTCTGCATCCCCTTAACAATTGTATGTTTTGAGCTGTACTGTACTGTACCCAATATACAAGCTGTTAATAAACTTTTCAATCAATCAATCAATCAATAAGTAAGTTATTGTACATGTGTTTGTCAGTGCAGTTGATAATTACAAAAATAAAAATAAATATGTGTTCTATAAAAACGGTATGAGGTAGGGTATAAAGTGCAGTTGGATGTAAACATGGGTTCGAAGGAAGTTTAACACACAAAATCATGACAAATCTGAATCTGAATCTGTGTCCTAGAAGCATCCTTGGAACTGTTACTATAGCGTTTTTTACTTTTTCAACATTCTTTACGATGTATTTTTCGTCTTATATTTTGACATACTACACTATGATGTTATTTATTCCCCAGAATCTGTGTTGTTGCTAGTAGGTTTACACAATGAATGTGCTTTGGTGTGAAAGACACCGAAAGAAAAATATGTTTTTTTTTAAAAGGAGCGAAAGATATGACTATTATAAAAGCTATTCCAAAAGAACGTCAGCATGACTAGGACACTCACCAGTTGTCGTTGTCTCGGTCGTAGGTGCTGAACATCATGCTGTTGTGAATGGTCATCGTGCGGTTTTCACCAAACAGTTCCGTGGATCCGACCAGGAAACAGTTCCCGGCGTTCCCGGAGTATCCGTCCACCGCCATCACGTAGTTGGACGTCTCTGATTGGATGGTGAACTGCTGGTACTGCGCATGGACCTAAAGGCAGGGGAAAACAACAAGATGAGTTTATATTTTGAGAGAAGACCATTACCCTTCTTTTTCTCGACATACTATACAATGACCTTTCTTTGACTTTTTCAACATGCTTCAACTTTTCCATGACTTTTGTTTTTACTTTTTCGACATACTACACAATGACTTTTTTTGATTTTTTTTCAACACATTATACTACGACTTCTTTCTACTTTTTTCAATATATTATACAATTAGTTATTTTCACTTTTTTCGAAACACTATACTACGACTTTTTTGTACTTTTTTCGACATATCATGACTTTTTTAGACTTTTTCGACATATGACTTTTTGTACTTTTTTTCATTACATTACATTTCATTTAGCTGACGCTTTTATCCAAAGCAACTTACAATTACAGGGACATCCTCCCTGGAGTAACTAAGGGCTAAGTGCCTTACTCAAGGGCACACTAGTGGTGGTGTTCCTGGCGGGATTTGAACTCACAACCTTCCGATCTTCAGCCCACCTCACTATCCATTAGACCACCACTACCCATTTTTTCGACATATACAATATACCTTTTTTTTACTTTGGCAATATTTCAATATACTATACAATGTTTTTTTTCCTATTTTTTATATGACTTTTATAAAGATCTTCGACTGTAAATAGAAATATTGCCGCCCACCTTGGCTCCGGTCCAGTCCTCCATCTCGATGAGGACCTCGGTGGGGCCCATCTTGGTCACCTGACTGATGCGGTCGTTACCCAGCCAGTACTCACCTGGCAGGTGACAAAAAGAAAAAACACAATTCTGGATGTGAACAACAACCCAAAATAATGAATAAACACATTTATTAAGATACTCAAATGTGTTCGAAATGTACTGAGATCTTTAACTTAAGACGTGATATTTTTTACATGCTATACTATTACATTTTTCTAATATTTTAAAACCCATACCATGTTTTTTAATGAATGTTTTAATTGACTTATTATACGACACTTTTTTTTACATGTTATACAATGTATTTCTTATTTTAACATGCTATGCTTTTTTTGGCCATACCTATACATGATTTTTCTTCATTTAATATACTATGACTTTTGCATGATCATTTTTAATACACTATAAAATGACTTTTTTAAATATTTAAATATAGTATGTACAATGTCTTTTCCCCTATTTTCTTTAAATACCATCCCATGGCTTTTTTCGTAGTATTTTCCCACATAATGTCAGGTTTCCACCCGTTAGCTTACATCTCCCTTCACAAATCCTCTTGACTCTTATTTTGAAAAACCTTACCAGGAGTCTGACAGTGACCCTTCCCAGAGTCGGAGGCGATGTTCCCGAATCCGCGTCGATATTCGTCCCAACGTCGCCCAAAGTCCACGCTGCCGTCCTGCCTGTTCTGAATGAGAAGCCAGCCTGCGGAAATACAAACAAAAGAAGAAGAAATGTTAATTAAAAACCTTGTTAAGACATGGGAGATATTGAAAGGAAGTGATTCTGACCTCCGTTCTGCGTGCTCTGATCACAGAAGACTCGGTACGGAGCGGTGAAGCTGTCGGGCTGGATCATGTACATCTGGGAGTCTTTTCCTCCACGGCGGAAAATATCCTCACACTCCTTACCTGAAACACACAGGTTACATTTTCTATGTAGTTTAATATGCCTTTTGCATATTGTTTTACATATAATAAGATGCTTCTTTTGTTATTGACTAAATGCTACAATATGCGTGTTTTTCATGTATTTATTTCATTTTTTTATATCAAATAATTAAGGATCTTTAATTATGTTATTTGGGACACCTTACCAGACACAACGGGGATGGGGCACTTGGTGGTGCAGGGCTCATTGCACTCCTCCCTCTGAGTCTGGATCGCCTTCTCCAGCTTCAGGATCTTCAGACGGATCTTATCCAGGACGCCCTGAACACAGGAAGCAGTTTACATCAGTGTTTGTAGTCTTTACTGCCCACAGGAAGCAGTTTACATCAGTGTTTGTAGTCTTTACTGCCCACAGGAAGCAGTTTACATCAGTGTTTGTAGTCTTAACGTCAGACAGGAAGCAGTGTGTGTGTTTCCTGTAGTCTTTCCGTCAGACAATTGCGATCAACGTCTTGCTAGTGCGTTGCATGATGGTTAGTCATTTTGTCCGACTTGCTCTGGAGGCTCGCCTACATGAGACGTTGAAATCTCGCGGGACAAAGACGCCCGCAGCCTTGAGAGCGAGGCGCGGCGAGGCGGCGCAGTTTCTCTCCACGGGCTGCGGAAGCGAAATGCTTGATGGGAAACGACTCGCTGGTATCTGGAGCTGAGCGCTCATTGGTGGGTTTTACCCCGTGCTGGAGATGAAACTCTCCATTGGCTCGGCAAAAGTGTGTTGTTGTTTTGTGTCAGTTTTACATCGCCACTTCCATTCACTTTTTTCATCATTGTTCCACAATGTTTATCATCATTAAATTAATATCTATATATTTGTATACTATACTTGCACTGCTTACCGTTGTCATACTTTATATATCTTAGCATATTCATACAACACACTGTTAATACTAGGCTAGGCTACTGTGTATATAGTGTATTCATACCCCTCACTGTTTATTCATCATTCAATTCATTCTATATTTTATTCTGTAGATTGTGGACATTACTTTTCACTTTACTGCTTTATGCACTCCTGGTTAGAAGCTAAACTGCATTTCGTTGTCTCAGTGCCTGTAATCTGTGCAATAACAATAACGTTGAATCTAATCTTGAGCAGGAACAAATGTATTTACTTAGTACATATCTGACATTAACGATTAAACACATTTGTGCATTCTTTATAAATGCAAACTGAGTCAAGCCGACTCCGGAGAGAAGAAGAAGAAGAGGAAGAAGCCGACTCCGAGCTGTCCGACTTCAGGCGAGCTTTTTGAGACCTCCCCCGGCTGCGATCGGCTATTCTCGTCTACTTTCGAGGCGAGCCGCAGCTCGTCTCAAACAAGCCTAGTGTGTTTCCTGTAGTCTTTACGTCAGACAGGAAGTAGCTAGTGTGTTTCCTGTAGTCTTTACGTCAGACAGGAAGTAGCTAGTGTGTTTCCTGTAGTCTTTACGTCAGACAGGAAGTAGCTAGTGTGTTTCCTGTAGTCTTTACGTCAGACAGGAAGTAGCTAGTGTGTTTCCTGTAGTCTTTACATCAGACAGGAAGTAGCTTGTGTGTTTCCTGTGGTTCTCTCACCTGCAGCACCCTGATGTTGGACGGGAACACGGTGTCCACGGTCTCTTTGATGTAGGCGTGTTGCTCCTCCACCCGGTCGGTGTACTGACTCACCACCCTGCTGTTATCTGAGCGGGAAACACACCAGCGTTACTGACAATGTGCACAACTCGTTAAAGATGCAATCAAATAAACAAAGGTCATGTTATTTTAATGTAGTGTTTTTTTTGGAAGATGCATTTGAATTTGCCTCGGTTTGGGGTTTGTAAAAACTATTTGCAAGTCTTCAAAATGGTTTTGTATCTATCTATATGCTCTCATATCAGTGTAAACAATTCAATAATAATAACAAAAAATTATAAAAAAATTAAAACGTAATAATTCAATAATAAAAAAAATATTTTAAATGTTTTAATTAAAAAGTAAAACATTTAAAGAATAAAAGAAAATTACAAAATTACAATAATAAAAAAAAGATGAATTATTATAACTCATTTTATTATCTCTTGTGCTGTTATAATTTGCCAAAGCAGTTGTTTTCAGAAAAGTAAAAAAATATATATAATATAATAATGTTGCTTCTATTTCACCTGGATTTTTGGGTACTTGGAAAATATACGAGAAATGTCTATCATGCAGAAGTACATTTAGTGCTTTGACTGAATACAAGTGAGTATTCCTCACCGTTGATGACTATCTGCCTCTCCCTCAGAGACGTGGAGATGCTGTTGACGTATCTGTAGACGGTGTTGGAGGATTGAGACAGTTCCTCCACCTGAGGCTTCAGTTGGTTGATGCTCTGCCACAAACAACATATCATGCATTTAGATTTAAAGAATCAAGTCTTTGAACTAGCTCTGTGTCTCATTTGGGACCCTAAATATCTGGATCAAACTACCAGGAACCTGCAGGTCCGCTGCAACTCTGAATACTTTTAAATCCAAGCTGAAGACTTTTCTTTTGCCGCTGCTTTTAATTGAACTATTCACATCTTACACTGCACTGTAACCTTTCTTCATGTACCTGTGTTATTCATGTTTTATTATCTTTGCTTTTAAATTAGTGTTTTTAAATGCCATTTCATAATATGTTTCTGCTGCACTATTTCTTAATACTCTTTCATTTTTGTAAAGCACTTTGAATACCAGAGATGGCAAAAGTACACACATCCTTTACTCAAGTAGAAGTACAGATACTGGTGTTTAAAAAGACTGGTATAGTAGAAGTACTGACTAAACTTCTTTACTTTTAAGTATGGGCTTTGAAATGTACTTCAGTAAAAAGTACCCATAACTAGCAGCTGTTTTAAAGAGTACCTGACCTCCCTTTATATTAATAGAACAATAATGTCATTGTTAGCTAATGAATGTTTCCATGCTGAACAACGGCAACATGACAACGTTTTCATTGGTCCCTCTTCTTTAGAGAAGACCAGGAAATGATGGATACACGGATCGTGTTCAAATCAATAGGCACGCAATGACTCTAAATAATAATGATCACGCCACCAAACACACATTCAAACTAAAGGAACCAGCCTGTTTGGGAAATGTGAGAAGTAGAAAGTACAGGTATTTGGGTTCAACATGTAAGAAGTAGAAAGTACAGGTATTTGTGTTCAAAATGTAAGAAGTAGAAAGTACAGGTATTTGGGTTCAACATGTAAGAAGTAGAAAGTACAGGTATTTGTGTTCAAAATGTAAGAAGTAGAAAGTACAGGTATTTGTGTTCAACATGTAAGAAGTAGAAAGTACAGGTATTTGTGTTCAACATGTAAGAAGTAGAAAGTACAGGTATTTGTGTTCAACATGTAAGAAGTAGAAAGTTCAGGTATTTGTGTTCAACATGTAAGAAGTAGAAAGTACAGGTATTTGTGTTAAAATGTAAGAAGTAGAAAGTACAGGTATTTGTGTTCAACATGTAAGAAGTAGAAAGTACAGGTATTTGTGTTCAACATGTAAGAAGTAGAAAGTACAGGTATTTGTGTTCAACATGTAAGAAGTAGAAAGTACAGGTATTTGTGTTAAAATGTAAGAAGTAGAAAGTACAGGTATTTGGGTTCAACATGTAAGAAGTAGAAAGTTCAGGTATTTGTGTTCAAAATGTAAGAAGTAGAAAGTACAGGTATTTGTGTTCAAAATGTGAGAAGTAGAAAGTACAGGTATTTGAGTTCAACATGCAGGAAGTAGAAAGTACAGGTATTTGGGTTCAACATGTAAGAAGTAGAAAGTACAGGTATTTGTGTTCAACATGTAAGAAGTAGAAAGTACAGGTATTTGTGTTCAACATGTAAGAAGTAGAAAGTACAGGTATTTGTGTTCAACATGTAAGAAGTAGAAAGTACAGGTATTTGTGTTCAACATGTAAGAAGTAGAAAGTACAGGTATTTGTGTTAAAATGTAAGAAGTAGAAAGTACAGGTATTTGGGTTCAACATGTAAGAAGTAGAAAGTACAGGTATTTGTGTTAAAATGTAAGAAGTAGAAAGTACAGGTATTTGGGTTCAACATGTAGGAAGTAGAAAGTACAGGTATTTGGGTTCAACATGTAAGAAGTAGAAAGTACAGGTATTTGTGTTCAAAATGTAAGAAGTAGAAAGTACAGGTATTTGTGTTCAACATGTAAGAAGTAGAAAGTTCAGGTATTTGTGTTCAAAATGTAAGAAGTAGAAAGTACACGTGTTTGTGTTCAAAATGTAAGAAGTAGAAAGTACAGGTATTAGTGTTCAACATGTAAGAAGTAGAAAGTACAGGTATTTGTGTTCAACATGTAAGAAGTAGAAAGTTCAGGTATTTGTGTTCAAAATGTAAGAAGTAGAAAGTACACGTGTTTGTGTTCAAAATGTAAGAAGTAGAAAGTACAGGTATTTGTGTTCAACATGTAAGAAGTAGAAAGTACAGGTATTTGTGTTCAACACGTAAGAAGTAAAAAGTAAAAAGTCGTCAGAAAAATAGGTAGTGGAGTAAAGTACTGATACCAGAAAAATGTACTTAAGTACAGTAACAAAGTATTTGTACTCCATTACTTCCCACCTCTGATGAATTGCCTTGTGTTGAAAGGTGCTATAGAAATACATTTGCCTACATTTCTCAGAAAGATTAAACACGTGTTACCGTCTTGACGTTCCTCTCCTGCTTCAGCAGCGTGGTCTTCAGCTCGCAGCCGGTCGGACACAGCACCCCCTAGTGGACGGAAACATATCGGCTTAATTCTCTTCATCTCGCAATCTACTTATTTCTATAAATACAGTAGTTATCAACTAAATAAACCGTATTCAATTTTGTCTTAATGTACATTATTTAATTGAATATTCTGTTCTTGTACATATCAAAAGTCAAAGTTAACTTTATTGTCAATCTTTCAGTTTGTGTGGACAGAGAGATCGAAATACCGTTTCCCACAATCCAGAATACAAAAACAAATATATATATAAATATGTATATCCTATATATACACAATCAAAAGACACATTTATACATATGCACACATTAATACATGAATAAAAGCACAATAATCAATATATACAAAATAACAGTCACTTCAATATCTTTGAGAAATGTACATTAGTGCAAGACTGTCCATAGCAGCGTAAAAAGTGTCTGGTGCTGGATTTGAGTGTCTGAGAGTGTGTCATATTCTATGTACATGTATATAGACTTCTTGCGCTATTTTTTGTATTTATATGTTTGTATTTTATTATATATGTTGCATTGTTGGAGGAGCTCAGGTCAGAAGAATTTCATTGCCATTTCTACACTGTAGCTTTGTGCATATGACAATACAACCTTTGAATTTGAATATATTCCCCCCTGGGTATCGTGCTGGTGTTCTCCTACCATCTCCACTGCAGCGTGAGTACAGCCTCCTTCATCGGGCTGAACCTCCTTCTCCTGAACCGTCTGAGCTCCCGTCGGAGTCGAAGAGGGGCGGCCGCGATACCTGGGGCAAAAACAAACAAACATGAGGTCTAATATTACCCGAGGAAAACTGTTTGTCAAAGCACTTGAAGCCATAAGTAATGCCTGTCTTTGTTACAGTAACTACATGTATCCCAGTTGTTTACACAGACACCATGGGCAACTAAAGAACTAAACAAATTATTTAAAGAAAAGCTTCTTTGACGAGATAAAGAACTATTCCTGTCTTTGAAATATGGGACAAACTGTAGTTGATAGATTTTATACTATTGAAATATCTTTAAAACCATGTAATAGATTGCAGTTAAACTTTGTCCCCAGACGATGAATCTCACCGGACTTTTGGTGTGTTTTTATTTAAAGTGGACCTATCTTGCTATATTTGAATAATATAGTGTAGGACCATACCTATATAAGGCATATTTATACTTTTTCTTTTGCAAAATACCAAACAGATCATGCATTTTAGCCATGCCTCATTTGGCTCAATTTGACATTTTTTAGCTCTGGATTAGCAAGGGCTGATTCAGTGAGAACAGCACCACCTACAGGCCTGGCATATGTACTACAGCGTCTCCAGCGCTTTCGAACGGCAATGGCCGTGGCTGTCTCCTCCTGATTGGTGGAGTTGGCCCAATAGCCGTAGCGCCACCGTCCTGACGTCAGGACAGTGTTCAAATCTGGATCAGTTTTTATCAGATCCGTTGCAGCCCCTTTTTTTTAGAGATTTGGGTATGGAGGAAAATAGAGAGGGTTGTATTTTCTGACACTTGGTGAGTTCCCTGGAACACCGGGGACACATATTCATGTAGAAAAGACGTACAAAAGTGCATTTTGCATGATAGGTCCCCTTTAACTACATTTGTATGTAAGAAAGGTACTCTTGCCCTAAAAGCATACGCTGGCTTATCTTGTATTTTACTCTAAATGGGATCATAGTTTTCTAAATGTCCATCATGCTGTGTTGATGAAGACTTAAAACTAGAGATTGAGACCATAAACTTATCAGGAAAATGTTCACTGAGGTAATAAATCAAGAGAGAAGTCGGGGCATTTTCTCGTAGACTTATATACATTTGGTGGATGTGATATGGTATTTCTCACTTTTATTTGTAGGAACCAAAATGTTCACTAATTGAGGAAATAATTGTCTAATGATGGAATATCTACTAGCATACAAGTCACCAACTCATGTTCTCATAGACATAGAATAACTAAACCTAAATTATGACTATAGAAGTATGAACTTTATATGCTTTTTCTCATAGACTTCTATACATTTTCATCTTCTTAGACTCCAGGACTATAGGTTTTGTAACCCTAACTAAACCTAAATTAAAACTAGAGAAGTATGAACTATATGAGTCTCATAGACTTCTATAAAATGTTGCAACCAGTGTCGTCGCCCCCTGCTGGACATTAGAGAGGATGCCCTTTACGGTTTTGTAACCCTTACTAGACTTGAAAAAAATATTTTTAAGTCAAAAAGAATATGAACTCTTAACACTTGTTCTCATACACTTCTATATCATTTCTTCTTCTTAGACAACATCGATCTTTACAGTCCTGTACATACTATATAGTGGAATTGGCCTTAAAATACATTTAAATTAAAAGATTGAAGTCTGAATGTACCTTCCTCCTCCGCTGATTGGGGGCGGGGAATAGCGGTTGGGGGTGTACGAGTCGTGGCCTCTCGTTGTTGGGCGATGACCTCGAACATCTACAGTCTCTGGTGGAGTCTGCAGGTCAACAAGATAAATACATTAAAACATATACAACTCATATAATGACTTCAACATTTGGTGCTTAATATTCTACTCACTGTCACGTTCTTCGTCGTCTTGGTGTCCTGAGGAAAGTAAAGGGAAAATATTGTGAATTGTTTTCAGTTTAAATGGTGTTTAAAGGATGCATTGAATTCAGATTGTATCGAGCACTTTTTAAATGAAATTGTAAAAATAAAGAGAAATATATTTCTGTTTTATGTCTTAAAATATTTAAGTCGATGTTGAATTCAATAAAGTTTTGTACCCTTTACGTATAATGCATATATATATAATTATGCAGGATCATTTTGTTATATGTTAAACAAAAACAATAGAAATTATTTTAAAGTAATTAGATTAATGTAAACAACTAAGATTTGTAAATGAATTACACATGCAAGCAGATTAAGATATAACATTTAATTAAGACGCTTTTTTTACATTATGACTAAATAATAAACGTATTCATTTTTATAATTTATTAAAAAAGTACTTTATTTTAATAAATGTTCTTACTTTTGATCAAATGAAAACACACACACACACTTACCGTGTCATAGGTGTCATAATCGGTATCCTGAGCCCAGGCAGCGGACACACACACACTCACACACACACACAGCAGCAGCAGCGTCCTCATCGTCGGCTGTCGATAAAGTTTTATTCTCAAACACTCGTCAGTCTTCAGTGTGCCCTCTCTTCTTTTTCTGTACCCGAAATCTGCTGCACCGCATATTTATCCCCTGTGTGTGGTGTGTGTGTGTGTGTGTGTGTGTGTGTGTGTGTGTGTGGTGTGTGTGTGTGTGTGGTGTGTGTGTGTGTGTGTGGTGTGTGTGTGTGTGTGTGTGTGTGTGTGTGTGTGTGTGTGTGTGTGTGTGTATTGATCTGATAGATACTGGTCACTATGTGCAGGAACAGTTTACATAACCTGAGTCACGGGAACAAAAGGGCATTCTGACTAAAGAGTTTACTGAAAACTGAAGAAGTGGAGGTTTCGGAGAGGAGAGAAAACACATTTTATTTAGAAAGAAAATTGGAGAAAAATATATTTGAGACATTTTAGAGCGATATAGATAATAATAGATGAAAAAAAAAGGGTAAAAATATTTAAAAAGTTGATTAAATTTGAACATTTTATAGAAAAAAGTGTAATATTTGGAGAAATAGGTCCTAAACAATTCACGGGAATTAGACGGTTCAGATTAAAAAGATTGCAATATTTCAAACAAATGTCAAATAAAAAAGTCCTGTCTTTTAACAACTGCAGTAATATTTCTTAATAATGTCCAAAAAAGTAATAATAATTAGAGGAACAAAATAGTAAAGTTTAACAGAAAAAACTAAATTTTAAAGAAACATTTTGAACATTTTTTGTCAAAGAAAGTCGGACATTTTAGGAAGAAAAAAATCGCAATAATTCCCCAAAAATATATAATATTAAGACAAAAAAGGGTAAAATATTCTTGCAAAAATAGTCAATTAAATGTGATTTTTTTCATAGAGAAAAATGTAATTTAAATGTATTTTTCTTTAAAGCTGTTTTTGTCAGGTGAGTCACTTTTCGGGAAATCAAGACGATTGAGCAACGGATGTTTGTTTGAGTCCAAAAGGAGACGTGGTGCAAATCCCTAAACACACAGACACTAACACACACCCACACACACACACACACACACACACACACACACACACACACACACACACACACACACACACACACACACACACACACTTGTATCCTTATTTAAACCCTTGAGTTTAGGACAGAAATGAACCCCTAGAAACTCAAAATTCACTTTTTCATGCATTTATTCATAATTCCTGACAATTCTTCGAGTGTTAATATAAATGCAGACAATATAAATGAACCTCTAGAAGCTTCTGAGCCTAATATTCGTCTGCAAAAAAAAAAAAACAGATAAATTTGAAGGAACAAACTAAATGTTATCAGATCCTCTTTGCACAGAGGAACGGCAGCTCCGACTCGCAGGAGGCGAAATCCCACTTCTTCTCATCTGAAAGATAAACACAAATGAAAACACTTTCATTTCTCAAGATGGTTAAAAACTAATATAATAATAGTGAACAGTTTGCATTAATTAAGCTTGAATGTTAAATGTACTTATTGTGGTGATTGTTCAGGAATTTAAAGGCAGGTTGAGTTTAAACTCCTAAATGAATCCACAACAACAAATATCTGAGTTTAAAAGTGAACTTTACTGACTTTAAATTCATAATTTAGCAGAATCCTCAAAAGACAAATTGTGTGACTTAACCCCCTTTGCAGGACTTTGACCGTAGCATTACTTTAATTTAATTTAATTGCAATAAACAGATAAAAAACTATCCTGAAATATCACATTCGGAGTGAATTTTCACCATTGAGAACGCATAATAATGTACTTTTATTCACATCAACTCTTCCTGCTGATTTAATCTGGTTTACTAACGCTGCAAAAAGCAAATATAAACAGATTTGCGTTAAACAGACCAAAAACATGCCAACGTAACTCCATCCTGATACAGATTTTAAAAAACGTCTGAATTTTTTTTTTAGATGTCAAGCAAAGAATTTCTAAAACGCTTGTTTCCTGAGTGGAGTTTGGTCCAATCAGAGCTAAGCTAACATTGTAGCTGCTAAATCTTAACGATGATGTTTTTCAAATTACACAAAAACACGAGATTTTTGTTGAATTGCATCGAAACAAACAAGGGGTTTAAATGTAGAAATGTGTGTGTGTGTGTGTGTGTGTGTGTGTGTGTGTGTGTGTGTGTGTGTGTGTGTGTGTCTTACAGCCATAGTTCATCTGCAGACAGCGCTCACTGGTCCTGCTGTTGCTTTCCATGTTCCAGTTTTCATAAAGAAACCTGGAGCCGTCGCTCCACATCCAGAATAACACCTAGAAATACAAATATATAAATAATATAATTACATAAACACATTTATGATCAAGTACAAGTATGCTTCAAAGTACACGATCAAACCAAAACACTTGTAATTACTGTCATCTCACACTAAGTACTTTTTGCCATAAATCCTGTTTATTACCATTGATTATTTAACTACTCAACAGTGCATGGTTTTGTGATTATATCGTAGAAAAAGTCGTACGTTGACGCAGTTGTGGCCCCCGACCCAGGTGGGGGGGAAGTTGTGCGTTTCTGCGCGGGTCAGCGCCTGCAGGAAGTGGTTCTGCTCGGGACTGTTGACCGAGGCCAGGTTAGCGCCTTCGAACATGCAGTAGCTCTGCAGAGAGAAAACACGCTATATGCTATAAAAGCTTCATGTTTAACAAAATAAAAGCTCAATGTTTAACAAAATAAAAGTTCAATTTTTTAACGAAATAAAATCTCCATGTTTAACAAAATAAAAGCTTCATATTTAACAAAATAAAAGCTCAATGTTTAACAAAATAAAAGCTCAATGTTTAACAAAATAAAAGCTCAATGTTTAACAAAATAAAATTTCAATTTTTTTACGAAATAAAATCTCCATGTTCAACAAAATAAAAGCTTCATATTTAACACAATAAAAGCTTCATATTTAACAAAATAAAAGCTTCATGGTTTAACAAAATAAAAGCTTTCTTGTCTAACCTTGTCTTAACAAAATAAAAATAAAAACTCCATGTTTAACAAAATAAAAGCTTAATATTTAACAAAATAAAAGCTTCATGGTTTAACAAAATAAAAGCTTTCTTGTCTAACCTTGTTTTAACAAAATAAAAGCTCCATATTTACCTCTGCCTCCACCCAGGTTTTCGGGGAGTCGATGAAGACGAAGCACAGGCGGCCGAATCGGGACCAGCCGAACGGGCAGTAGAACTCCTGGTCTGCAGAAATAACATATTTACAATAACACTGCATAAAACTGCAATCACTAGTTTTTACAACAACTCAAACTCAAAATGTATTTATGTGTGTGAATACGTCTTAAAGGGGACCTATCATGCAAAATGCACTTGTTGATGTCTTTTATACATCAACATGTGTCCCCGGTGTGTTGGGGAACTCACGCAGCGTCAGAAAATAAAACCCTCTCTCTTTTCCTCCGTACCCAAATCTCTAAAAACGGGGGAACAACGAAGCTGATCCAGATTTGCGTCCGATATGACGTAATATCTGAAATGTGGACCCACGGCCCTATCAGAAACGTTGCTATCAGAAACAATGCCCGACTGTTTTGGACGTAATATGGTCGGTGTTTACATTAGCATGGCTAACACTCAGAGCTAACCTGTACTGGAGAGCATGTGTGTGAAGAAGCAGGAAATAAAAAGGAACTCACCTTGTGGTATAACCGGCAAGAGAGAAAGCCTTTGAGCTCCATACTGTTTCAGAGATAATCCTTGATAATCCATGATATGGCGTTTCATCACGGCAGTATTTAGTTTAGACGGTAGCTGCCGGGTCCCACATGAGCTCAGACCCCATCTTTTTTTTTTTTTAAAGCTTTATACCCAGAATCAGCACTTTAGAAGTGAAACAGAGGGATATGAGGCATGGCTAGAATGGGTGATCTGTTTGGTATTTTGAGCAAAACACTTCATAGACAGGTTTTTTATATCTTTTTATCTGAGACCTATGCTATTGCCTAAAAATGGCATGATAGGTGACCTTTAAAAAGTGTCATGCAACTTTTATTGACTTATTTTATACACCATTTTTCTTATACTTCAAGCTCATTTTATTGAAGGATAATTTGTTGACTTATTTTGTCTATATATGTTCTTTGCTCAAAATACAAACTCATTTCTTAAACAAAAGGCTTCTCATGTTAAAAAAATCAAAGCTCCATGTTTTAAAAAACATTAAAAATCATGTTAAAGCAAAAATAAAAGCTTCCTATTTTAAACAAAAAATAAACGTGTTAATGTTGTAACAAAATGCTCTAAAAAAATGAAGAAAATATCCATGTTTTAACAAAATAAAAGCTTTTTGTGTAACCTTGTTTTAACAAAATAAAAGCCTTCTTGTCTACCCTTGTTTTAACAAAATAAAAGCTTTTTTTGTAACCTTGTTTTAACAAAATAAAAGCCTTCTTGTCTACCCTTGTTTTAACAAAATAAAAGCCTTCTTGTCTACCCTTGTTTTAACGAAATAAAAGCCTTCTTGTCTACCCTTGTTCTAACAAAATAAAATCTTAATTTCCTAAAAAATAAAGGCTTTAGATAACAAAAGAAAAGCTCAAGGTTAAAAAAAAAAAAAAACCTCGAGGTTTTAACAAGAAAAAAGCTTTCTTTTGTTACCCTTGATTTAGCGAATAAAAGCTCCCTGTTTAACAAAAGAAAGCTCTGTGTAGAAAATCGACCAAACCAAAGAAAAGCTTTTTGTGTAACCTTGATTTAGCGAATAAAAGTAAATACCCCCTCCCCCCCCTCACCACAGTTGACTGGCACGGTCCCAGACGGAGTTCTCGTGTTCGGGATCTCCTCCCCCGTGATCACGTTCACGCACCAGCAGGATTCCGTGGATGTGGCACATTGCTGCGGCAGGAAGTTCCCGTTGAAGTCGCACGAAGGCACAAAAGCACCGGGGATACCGGGCGGCGTCTGTCTAACGATGTACTCACACAACCCCGAGGTCCGCGTGCTGAGGGAGGTGTTGATCGCCATGGCAACGCTCAGAGGCAGGAAACAGGCGAAGGTCAGGGTCACGATGAGCGTCTTCATGGTGACGATGAGCTGAACTAACGGGAGCAGAACATACGAAATCTG